TATATATATAAATATATAAGTTTGAGATATTATTAAAAGATTGAATTTCGAAGTGATAATTCACTAATAATTTAACTGCATTATATGTATTGCCTTATGTAGAAATAGTTTGCTAGGAAATATCTTTGCCCAACAAGGATTTCAGTAGTATTTTGGTGTTTTCTTCACCTCTCACTCACGGTGCCAAAACATTTGCTTATCGGAGCTTTTTTGTATACATCTCTTTGTATGTTTCACATGAGTATAAATTGTAAACAAGTGCTATTCTATGCTTGTGGCCTTACAAACTGTTAAGCCTGTTGAATTGCCCATGTTGGCTCAATAAAACATGGATTTAACATCCTTAAGTGTATATAAATAGTTTTTATTGCTTTTACTCACAAAGGCTGCATGGATTACAGTAGCTGATGCTCCAAATCACTTTTTGATTAAGATGATAAAGTCTTTTCTGTACTGAATTAAAACGCTAGAATGATTTCTTAAGGATGAAGTCACAGTAATAAAGAATAAGTGCTTCTTCAGTGGAACAGAAGTCGACTTCCTTTCAAAAAACTCCAGCTATTGTGGAAACCTGTTTCCACCACAGGATAAAAACTTTTTTTTTTTCTGAGAAAAAAGAGTTGCAAGATATAAACTTTCAATTCTTAGAAAAAAATGAAGAATCGTGAAACATAAATTCTGAATTTTTTCTCACAATTCCAAATTTACATTTTGCAGTTCAGTTTGTTTTTTCTCTCAATTCCGAGTTTACACCTCGCTATTCTGTTTTTTTCCCCGATATAAAGTATAAAAAAGGTAATTGCGAGTTTCCTTTTTTTATTCATTATTTATCCATCTATCCCATGGAAACAAGCACCTATCTGTATCTACAGTATCTATCTGGATGGACATTAAGCAGACAACCATCTCATATCTGCCTCTATGATAGTAAAGACTAAACCCAAACATAATTTCCTTATGCACCTTTAAAATGGCATTAACTACCTTTAGTGCATGTACAGACGTCGAAATATTATATAATATGAATGTTAAAAATATGTGTTAAAAAATGCAAAATATTGATTGGTAATAAATAATATACAATACAAAACGTTGAATCCTCTACTGATGTTGAATGTCTGTTTATCAGCCACAGTCATGAATTCACATTCAGTACTATGGTATATTTCAAATTAACAAACATGCTATCATCACAGTAGGCTACTTTCTTGTATTTTTTGTTTCTTTTTTCTCCACAGTTTTGGTTCAGATCCTAACAGTCACGAAATGTTACGCTTTTCAATGACTTATTTAACAATAAGTACAAGTAGGGCCCAAAAATTATAATCGCATTGCGATTTTTGTCCGCGCACATTCACGCAAGCTTTATGAGCTTAACCGTGCGCGATATGCATGTTTAATTATAAGTATCTCTGGGTCTTAACGGCGGTCAGGAAAGTAGATCAGGAGGTAACGTTAGGCGTAATCTGCCAGCTCCCAGGCCGCGACGTAACGTATGGCATCACGCCCCGGTGTAGTCACGCCAGTTTACGGTATTTTACGTTTTTTATTAAATTATTTAATAAAAGTAATCGCACCCGTACAGTGTGACCTCATTTAACCCGGGATCTCCGCTGCTACGCCATTGTTTCCATCGGTTTATAACATGGTCATACACGTGAGTCCAGCTGTCATGACCACGCCCTCGACCAATCAGACTGTCACGGGGAAACGCTCCCACCAATGGGAGTCGAGCAGGCGTGGTCGGCCAGACTCACGTGGGCCTGATATGTTGTGTTCCAGAGGAGTAAGACGCATGAGAAACTGGAGCAGCTGATTATTGAACATAAACATCAAGTACTCATCTTTAACGCATCTCAAGAGCGCGGAATACATTAATAGATATACTAGTGCTGTGATGTTCAAGAGAGTTTAATTAGACGAGAAACGCGTCATTCGAGACTTGTGCGATTTAAGGTATACCACATTATAATTACGTTATTAATTATATCATATAATTATTAACATTCATTTCTGATATGTGAAATATTTAATAATCTGTGTTTTTTTCGTGAAACGTTACATTGGGTTGTGCATGTAACTGTGCGCATGTGCACTGCCTGTCTGACTTGTTACATGCTAAAAGAAATAACTTGTATTTCACTCAAAAGTGTATGTTTTTGTCATGTTCGCGGGTCTGTGTGAGATGCACGGGTCAGACGGGGGTTTACGTGAATATCTTTAAGCAGACTCGTGGCCGTGCATGTGCGATGGTGGAGGCGAGTATCACACAGAGTGTTATTCTTGTCTTGTGGGTTTGTTAGGAATTTGGAAACTATGGAGGATGTTTGTTTTTTTCTTAAGTGAATCCTAAATGGTGTTTTAATAGATCAAGTCAGATAGTGGGGGTCTGTAGTTGCTTAATATCAAAATAGTATGTACATTTGCACGAGCTAGAATGAGTTATCGTAGGTGTTTCACTACTTAAAGGGGACATATGATGCGATTTAAATTTTTCCTTTCTCTTTGGAGTGTTACAAGCTCTTGGTGCATAAAGAAGATCTGTAAAGTTGCAAAGTCTAAAGTCTCAAATCCAAAGAAATATTCTTTATAAAAGTTAAGAGTCAGCCAAACCTACCTAAAACGGCTCGTTCTAACACGCCCCCACATATCTACCTCACTATGTGGGAAGATTTGCATAACGCCACCCAAATGTTTCTGCAAAGAAAGAAGGCATAACTTTTATTCTCGCTGTAGTATTGTTGCGGCCGCCATGTCCTGAAGGCGCTGTGTTTCGTTGTGAAAGCGAAACTACTTTGTTTGGTCTTCCAAAAGAGGACGATATCTGCTTCGTCATGCCTAGAGCTGATCTGTGCTGGTCGCTGAGGAAATACAACAACTTTGCACTGTCGATCACCGGATCGGCTTTCACCGTGGACGAAGCGGAGTCCAGCCCGGGGTCGTCACATGTGGTTGCGGA